CCTTCGCTATGGACATAAAGACACTGTACATATCCAAGACAGATATTGGATACTAATCAAAGTAATGTGCCAACTGCTTATTAAGGAAGGTTTGGGGCTTACTGACCATTAGGAAGTCTCGTGTAATGAGAGGCAGCCTGTGTCAATATAGTCTGATTAAAAAAGCAGAAGGCCAGAGCCCCAGAATTTTGCTTATGATTATATAAGAACTAATTTTTTTTTCTCCATTTAAAGGTTTTGTAGCCTTTCCTCATTAACGGCTCTTTCCATAGGCCCTGAATAGCTATACCTACCACTTCCCCCTCCCCCTCCAAAAAAGATTACCCAAACTTTGTACACTGAAAAGTTGAGCTAATAAAAACCTGCTTTTTTAATAAGTGTGAAATTTTTAACAGTTATCAATTCAGTCTGAAGCAATTTTATTTCTCCATATCTCAGCGTAACTTTGCTACTATGATAAACAGATGTACTGCAGTGCCACCTAGTGTCAAAATTCGAAGAGAGTCATTTCACATGCACAGCTCTACATTAAAGGTGGGCAAAAGTGAATAAATAAACATATGCATTTGCTATGGCTGTGCATGCTGAAGTACCCATTTTCACATTCAGCTGTCATAACAGTGCACAGTTTTATATCTGCCAATTTGGAAACAAATGCACAGGTAAGTGAAAAATTATCCGAACAACAACTTAGGAGTAAGTAGTGATGAAAACTTCTCTCTTATATGATATTTAAGAAAAAGAAAAATCAATCTCAGTTCTGACAAGGTCATAACTCACTAGAAAGCATAGTATACCAGATCAAATTTTTTGAAAAAAAATATCATAAATACCTTCCTGTGCCTAACCTAAAACAAAATATTTAACAGGTTCTACTGGATACTGAACAGATCACAGGCCACAAATTGCTGGAGATGCAGCTATGCACCTGCCTCATGGTTTGTCAACACACAGAGTTATTCTGGAATAGCTACTGTGGAATACTATTCTGGAAGAAGCGTGTCCATATGTAGAGTTATTCTGGATTCGTTTTCTGCTTTAAATTCACAAACTTTCATGTGTAGACAAACCCCCACTATCACAGCCTTTGGTCCATGAGAACCAGACACCTGGATTATTATCTGCACCTGTTCCTCAAAAGCACTAAACTATACCAATATCCCTTCTGTTAAACCGTTCCTCTTTAGCCTCGATGAAGATGGCTCTTGTTTCATACAAGAGTGAGTTTTACTCATATCCTGGACAGAACCACACCCTCCCCCAGTCTCAGAGTGGAAATCAGATTTATCATCTACCATCATAGTGAGAGGGAGGGGGAAACATCTTCCAGTAAGTCTCAATCTGGACTTGTACTTCCCCATCTTGGGAAATGTGCAAAATATTTTCATGCCAGAGAAGGCACTTTATCATAACATGTTGGTACCTTTTTCTCCTTCTGACACTACCTCTCTACTTTCCTTTCTTCTATGCATCTTCCTCAGTTTTCATTTTGCACACATCAGTAATATTAACACATTATTAAAAACTAATAAATAAGGTGTTAGCTGAATGCTGTTAATTGCTGCACTCCTACACAATGCCATACCCTTTTTATTTTGTTGCTTTCTATTTTTTTTTCTTAATAATGACATATTTAGGACTAAACTGAAACTTTATAATGTTTTTCTTTGAAGTTTGCCCATCCACTGTTGTTTGCTTAGAATGAATGATCGTTTTATTTTTTTAAAGAAACCACCATGACAATAAATATTTATTAGAACTAGCTGGAAAATTAGGTTTCCCCCCCAGGGAAAGTTTTGACTAAAATGAAAGGTGTTATACATACACCCCCCCCCCCCCTCCACACACACACATTTGCAATGGAACAAATCAAAAATGTTTTGGGGGTTTCTATCATTGAAATTCTATGTGGAAAGCGGATAATTTTCATGAAAAATTTCATTGAGTCAAAACCCCAATTTTCCATTAAAAACAGTTTAAATGTAAAACTGCTGGTCAACTCTAATAATTAGTGGTCACAAGATGCTAGACACTGTCTGTAGCTATATATACAGGATGACACTTTCCCTGCCCCAGAGAATTTACAATAGACTTCTTCCAATTCATTTTGTCTGTAATTTTGTATGCTGTGGTCTGTTTATATTAAAATATCTATATCTATGGGGAGAAAAGCTTTCTGGATAAAGGTAGAAAGAGTTTCATAACCAATTTGCTTTTCACTATTTATTCATGGTGAATGTTTACTTCTGCACTGACTCAGCCAGAACATTGAAGTTAGATTAGTCAGTTTCATTGTAGCTCATCTGCAGTTCCATCCTCACTCTCACTCTCTCCTGCTTTAGCACTGTGCGGATGTGATTATGTTTACTGAACTGCCAGGGCATATTTGTGTCCTAAAACTGTTGTCAATTGTACTTTTAAAAATGTATTGCTATGTACTCTCTGCTAAGCATCTTCCACTGTCATGGACATCAGTGGGAGTGGAGTGCACTCAGCATCTCACAAGATTCACGACAGTTGCAAAGGGCACGGGAAGGTCAAAAGACAATGCGTTTTCACCCCCTGAGGACTCCACATCTACCACCACTTCCGCAGGACTTTATTGGCAGAGGTAAGCTGCAGAGTAGTTTGTTAAGACAAAAAAAAAAAAAGTAGATGTAGGTACATCTGTAAGCTTAAGACATGTTCAAAATAGATCTTCCATCATCCATAATGGAAAGGGAAAGTATTCAGGTATGAATTCCTCCAGCCAAGTCCCAGAGTAAAATTACCAGGAGTTTCTTTTACCCAGTCACACTGGTCATTTTCTAGAAGACTGTGATGGGGCACTCTACTGTACTCACTGCAGGTGGTGCCCCCTCCTGGTTGTTCTTGAGATTTAGTTCTGCACAGCCAATACCCCTTCCTGCACACTCTGTCACACTCTCTCTTTTGCCACACTCTGTCTTTTGCCATCTGTGGCCCCTCTCTTGCTCCAGGAGCCGCTGCCTCCTTTTCGTGACTCTAGCCAGGTCCCTCACCACATATCCCTCTTGCAGGGTACCAAAGTCCTTTCGCATGACTGGTCTCAGGCAGTCTTATTGGGCACTACCTGATCGATGATACCACTTCCCCAGTGGCCAGTAGGGGAACCCAGGCCTGGCCACTATTCCAGGTTCCAGTCTAGGAACCCTATATCTGGCTACTGTGGTTTCACTTAGACCCTATTGCGCCTTCCCTGGACTCCTTCCTACAGCTTTTGGTTCCCCCCACTCTGGGTGTACCAGCTCAAACCTCCTCCTCACAAGGAGTAACTATAGACTACTGAACCCCGCAGCTTCAACACACCTCCCTTTTCCCAGGGAGTGACTGCAGCCCGCAGCAACTCTCAGCTTTACACAGGCCCTTCCTGTTCCCATGCTCTCTGGCTCCTCCTCCAGGTGCAGCCTAGGGAGTTAATTGGCCCCTTAACCCTTCCAGGGCTTGTGTTGGATGGATGCTCCTTCACAAAGCTTCAGCCCCAATACACTCCAACTTCTTCAGGCAGCAATCAGTTAGCTTCAGAAACTTTGGTCCAGCCTAAGAGCCTCCAATTCTACTTTTCCTCCAAAGCTAGCTTGGGACTACCTCCTCTTTAGTTCCTCTAGCCGTAATGAGCATAATCAGAAGGATTCTCCCTCCACAAGCAATTAGCAGCTGCAGCATTTTTGCCATGGATTCTTTTTTCCCGTTGTAGATTCTAAACCTCTGCTTTATTTGCCTTGGCCTCAGCCATGTATAATTCATGAGAATTTTCAATGTTGCCAATTGTCACAATATTTGGTGTTTTTATTTAAAGTCTCAGCTCCTGGAGTCAAGTAATTATGTTCATTAAAAAAAAAGTTTCTAGCATGTAAGGTAGCAGAGAAGAGCTTGAAACCATGAGCCAAGTGGACTCTAAATCTCAGAAATCAGAACACACAGAAAAGAATAAAGGTGTTATTTAAAAAAAAACCTCATGATTTTTAAGCCAATCTCATGAGTTTTGAGGCCAGACTCATGATTTTTGCGCTCTTGAAGTTGGAAATACTGGATTTTACACACCCAAATTTAGATTTAATTTTAAAAAATGGTTATGTCTTGATGCTGCAAGCTGCTCCGCATGAGTGGGCCCTTGTGCCTGCAAAGATATCAGCTGACATCAAAGGGGCTCTCCCTGCCCAGAGCAGCTTACAGAATCATGTCCCCTTTCATGAACTCATGCAACTTAAGAGTTTATCCCGATCATGTGGCCTATACATCACAAGCAATGCACCCTTTAGTCATGCTCCCACCCACAAATTCCCTCTTCCTTTCAAAGCTCCACATCAAGACCCTGGCCTCCCTCTTCAGTAATAATTCCCTCCATCACCCATTTATCTGGAGGCTCCTCACCCAGCTGGTCATGGTCAGCTCTAATTTGCTACTCAAATCCCTCCCACAGATTTTCTGTTGGCTGGATGTTCAATGTCTTCTTTCCCTCATCCCCTTTTACAGGAACAATAATCAGAAGAGGAAGATTCCAAACCCTCCTCCCCTTCATAGACCGGTCTTTGAGAAAGTACCAGGGGGATCAAATAGACGTTGGCAGAGAGACAGATGTGCGAGCTCCATTTGCAGTTTATCTATTAGTGTAGCAATATTTAGGCTGATGAAGGAAGTGTCTTTGGGTTCTCTAACCCACTCTACAGCCCAATGACTGAGTACCTGAGGCACTCATGTTCAACTGGAGACGAGTATTCCAAATAGTTAATGTATACTTGTGCATGTGTCAAAACACTGCATGAGAAATGCTTTAATCCTTTAAAAACTGTTTAGATGGAGAAATAAAAAATGATGGAAAAATTCTGTTCATATTTGTGTTTTAATTTCACTTTAACGAAAACAGCAGTTGTACACGACCTCCAAATTTACACACTGCAGTGAGCATGCATTGATTCCTGTGTTTGTTAATGTTTGCTGGGTTCCAGGACAAACTCAGACAATGGGTCAGAATTCTGAGTCTAGCCTGATTCAAAATAGTCCCAAATGGATTTTGCGAGAGGTCTTAATGAACTTGTTGCATGCTCTGGACCTTTCTGAGCCCTCAGTTGTTCCTCCATGGCTGTTTCCTGTTCCTCTATGTCTTTCTCCTGATCTATTTCCTGTTCTATACAGACCTTTTTATGAGTTTTCTCCCATTCCTCTAAGTCTTTGTCCTGAGCTCTTTCCAGGTCTTCACAAAACGTTTTATGAGTTATTTCATGTTCTTCTTGGGCCTCTTTCTGAGCTTCCTCCTGTTCCTCTGCAACCTTTTTCTGAGCTCTCTCATGTTCCTCCAGGGCCTCCTTCTGAGCTTTTTCTGGCTCATCCAGGACCCCTTTCTGAACTCTCTCCAGCTCCTCTAGGGAGTTTTTATGAGCTCTCTCCAGTTTCTCCAGAGCTTTCTGAGCCCTCTTCTGTTCCTCCAGGGCTTTCTTCTGAGCTTTCTCTTGTTTCTCCAGGACCCCTTTCTGAACTCTCTCCAGCTCCTTTAGGGAGTTTTTCTGAGCTCTCTCCAGTTCCTCCAGAGCTTTCTGAGTCTTCTTCTGTTCCTCTAAGGCTTTCTTCTGAACTTTCTCTTGTTCCTCCAGGGCTTTCTTCTGAGCTTTCTCTTGTTCCTCCACTGCCTCTTTCTGAGCTCTCTCCAGTTCCTCCAGTGCCTTTTTCTGAGCTTTCTCTAGTTCCTCCAAGCCTTTTTGAGCCCTCTCCTGTTCCTCCAGGGCTTTCTTTTGAGCTCTCTCTTGTTCCTCCAGGGCCTTTTTCTGAGCTTTCTCCAGTCCCTCCAGGCCTTTTTGAGCCCTCTCCTGTTCCTCCAGGGCTTTCTTTCGAGCTCTCTCCTGTTCCTCCAGGGCCTTTTTCTGAGCTCTCTCCAGTTCCTCCAAGGTCTTTTTCTGAGTCCTCTCCAGTTCCTCCAAGGCCTTTTTAGCCCTTTTCTGTTCCTCTGTAGCCTTCTTCTGAGCTCTCTCTTGTTCATCTAGGGCCTCTTTCTGAGCTCTCACCAGTTCTTCCAGGGCTTTCTTGGCTCTTTCCTGTTCCTCTCTGGTCTTCTTCTGAGCTCTCTCTTTTTCCTCTAGGGTCTGCTGCTGAACTCTTGCCAGTTCCTCCAGGGCTTTCTGGGCTTTTTCCTGCTCCTCTATGGCCTTCTTTTGAGCTCTCTTCTGCTCCTCTATGGCCTTTCTCTGTTCTCTTTCCAGTACCTCTAGGGCCTTCTGAGCTCTCTTCTGCTCCTCTAGGGCAGCCTTCTGCGCTCTCTCTTGCTTCTTATGAGCTTTCTCCAGTTCTTCCATAGCCATATGAGCTTTCTTTTGTTCTGCCAAGGCCTTCTGCTGGGCTCTTTCATGTTCCTCCAGGCCTTTTTTCTGAGCAATCTCCAGCTCCTTCAGGGCCATCTTATGAGCTCTTGCCAGTTCCTCCAGGGCTTTCTCAGCCCTCTCCTTTTCCTCCTGGGATTTCTTCTGAGCTCTCTCCTGTTCTTCCAGGGCTGCCTTCTGAGTTTTTTCCTGTTCCTCTAAGACCTTCTTCTGAGCTCTTTCCAGTTCCTTCAGAACCAGCTGTTGAGCTCTTTCCAGTTCTTCCAGAGCCTTCATCTGGGTTTTCTCCTGTTTTTCCAGCACCTTCTTCTGGGTCCTCTCCTGTTCTTCCAGCAACTTCTGCAGAGCTCTCTCCTCTTCCTCCAGCTCCATCTGCTGAGTTTTCAACTGTTCTTCCAGCTCAGTCTGCAACGCTATCAACTGTTCCTCTAGATCCATCTGCTTAACGGACTCTTGTTCTTGCAACACCTTCTGCTGAGCTCTCTCTTGTTCCTCCATTGGCTCCTGTTGATTGTCCTCCTGTTCTTTCAGCACTATCTGCTCAGCTGTCTCAGGTTCCTTCATGGTTTTCTCCTGTTCCTCCAGGGCTGCTTTCTCATAGATCTCCAGTTCTTCCAGGGCTTTCTGAGCACTCTCCTGATCCTCCAAGACTTTTTTTATCCTCTCTACCATCTCCTTAAATTCGTCTTCCTTGCACTTTTGCTCATACTTCCTCCAGTGGTGGGTGATTTTCTGGGCCCTTGGCTGCACCTCATTCAGCATTGCATTGGTCTCTTCATCATAATCCAGCTGACAGGCCAAGGACAGGTCCTTGGCAGCCTCCTGCCAGTAACCCAGGAGCCGAAGCGCTTTCCCTCGCCACTTGTAGGGCTGTGCGGAGTCGGGGTTGATATTTATGGCTCTGTCACAGTCTCTAATGGCAGCATTTGGCTTCTGCAACTGCACATAGACACTGGCTCGGTTGGCATATAAAATTGTAAGCCGTGGGTTCAGTCTGATGGCATCTGTGAACAAGTCAACAGCTCTCTGAAGTTCTCCTTTACCCACCGCATCAAAAGCCTCCCTCTTCTTTTCAATGGCCTGCTTCATCATTTCGTCTGTTACCTTCAGATTCTCATCGCCCATCTCTTGGGGCTCATCCTCATCAGGTTCAATCACTCCTTCATTATCGATCTCCAACTCACTCTCGGACTCCTCACTGGACTCTTCCTCACTCTCAGCTCTCCCCTGGGCCTTCAGCTGGAATTTCTCCTTGTCCCCATTGTCCACTGGCAGAGCTCCTTCTTGTTCTCTAGAGTATTTAAGATGTGCACCCCATTGTTCCCAGGAGGCCTGAAGCCTAACTCTTTCATGTTTCTGGGTATCCTGAGGCTTAGCTCTTTCCTCTTTTTGCCAGGCCTCAAGCTCATCTCTTTCCTGTTCCTCAGGTGTTTGAAGTTGAGCTCCCTCCCTCTCCTCGATGGCTTTCTTCATTCTCTCCAGGGCCTCCTTAAATCTCTTTTCTTTTTGCTTTTGCTCATATTTTCTCCAGTGGTGGGTGATTTTCTGGGCCCTTGGCTGCACCTCATTCAGCATGGCATTGGTCTCTTCATCATAATCCAGCTGACAGGCCAAGGACAGGTCCTCGGCAGCCTCCTGCCAGTAACCCAGGAGCCGAAGCGCTTTCCCTCGCCACTTGTAGGGCTGTGCGGAGTCAGGGTTGATATTTATGGCTCTGTCACAGTCTCTAATGGCAGCATTTGGCTTCTGCAACTGCACATAGACACTGGCTCGGTTGGCATATAAAATTGTAAGCCGTGGGTTCAGTTTGATGGCATCTGTGAACAAGTCAACAGCTCTCTGAAGTTCTCCTTTATCCCACCGCATCAAAAGCCTCCCTCTTCTTTTCAATGGCCTGCTTCATCATTTCGTCTGTTACCTTCAGATTCTCATCGCCCATCTCTTGGGGCTCATCCTTATCGGGTTCAATCACTCCTTCATTATCGATCTCCAACTCACTCTCATCACTATCGGACTCCTCACTGGACTCCTTCTCCCTCTGAGCTTTTTCCTGATCCCATGGGGCTGTCCTATCAGCTCTTCCTTTTGCCAGAGCCTTTTTCACTCTCTCCATTGTCTTCCCGTGCTTACATTTTTGCACATTTTTGTGTTTAGAGTTCTTCTGGGTTCTCACCTGCACTTCCTTTACCACATCACTGGCATCTTCATCATAACCCAGTTTGCAAGCCAAGGCCAGGTCACAGGCTGCTTCTTCCAAGAGCCCCAGGAGCTGGAGTGCTTTTCCTCGCAACTTGTAGGGCTGTGCTAAGTTAGGATTGAGCTCTATGGCTCTGTTACAGTCGCTAATGGCAGCGTTTGGTTTCTGTAGGTACATGAAGACATTGGCTCTGTTAGTATACGAGTTGGCAAGATATGGATTCAGCTTGATGGCATCTGAAAACAAGTCAATTGCTTTCTGAAGTTCACCTTTAGACAGGACACCAAAGGCCTCCCTATTCTTTTCATTGGCCTGCATCATCATCTCATCTGTTACCTGCAAGTTTTGGTCTCCCAACTCTTGGTGATCATCTTGGTCTGGTTCAATCACCTCCTCTGCATCAGTTTCCAAATCATTCACTTTGTTCCCAGCCTCTTTCAGGAGCTTATCTGCCTCTCTGACCATCTCACCTGCAGCTGTATGGCTTGAAGTGGGAGACATGGAATTTTCCAGGCTCACTACTGATTCCCGAAGGAAGCGGCGATCTTCAGAATTTATAAAGCCCTGATTCAATTTCACCAAGTCCTGCATCTCACTGTGAACTGCCCTAGGATTCATGGTGCCCATCCCAGGAGAGAGTATGGGACACAGTTTGGTCTCAATTGAGGAGGAAGGAAGGAAAAGAAGGAAAATGACTCACTATAGACAAGGATTTGGTTAATAAGTTAACATGAGGCCTCATGGCAAACGTCTTTGTTCCTTCTTCTCCCATTGTCCTGAATCCTCATACAAGGCTAAAAGTCATCCTCAGGGTCCTACTGACTTCATAAACTGTGATTTTTTTGTGATGTCATAAATCATGTCATCATTAGAATCCTGAGATGTGTTCTTAAAGTCATGTGCTACCAATGTTTTAAAAAGGAGTTCCCACAAAAATTTATCTCCTCAGACTATAATATATTTTGTCTATCAGGGGTATGTATGCTTCAGACAGAAGTGGGTACAAGACTGGGGAATTTATTCATTTGTCATCTCATTTGAACAAAAATTCTTTTTCACAACCATAGACAGAATCTGGCAAACAATCTTCTGTTATTAAGATGTGCTTTGCTGATGTTTATATTCCATTAGTGAAAATATAATAACTATGTTGATATTATATCACAATGTTCAACTTGAGTACTCTGAAGTGGGGAATGGGAATGAAAATCTCAGGGTGAATGCGAGGGATATCCTCTAGGTCATTTTCCAAACATTTGAGAGAACTCGTCTATGCCAAAATTTTAAAAATTGCTCTTCAGAAGCATTTTGAAACAAATATTTCAGGAGGGATGATTGAGCTGCATCCAGACAAGCCAAGAACTCCACCAGAGTCACAGGAAACACCCCAATTTCACTTCAAAGGGCTCCTAAAGTTTTTTCTGCATGTCACTGCGATGTAAGCACCTTTACATAACTTTTTTTCATCAATTCAGGGTTGATGAGTCAGCCTCTGTGGATCTCTATCGCCTGTGACGCTGGCAAGCCAGGTGCCAGCTTATGCCGAAGTCCTCATGCCTCACTTGGATACTGACAAATACATAGCTAGAATTAGTCTGGCTCAGCTATATATTAGTATTGATGAATAGATATTAGAGTTATAAAATGTGCTTAGTATTTAGACTTTATTGAATGTTTCTAAGTTGCTGTATGCATTAATCTCCCTTATAGCACCCATATTGTGAGGTAATATTGGAGCATTTGCATTGTGATTCTCTCTAATTGTGTAAATCACTAGACAGGAAGGAGACATGAATTAGTATGAAACACTAGCTTTTAACAGAAGGTGTTATGTCCTGCCCAACAGAGAAGGCCCATGGACACCAGATGAACTATTGTGGAACATCTAAGGATAAAATATTTTGTTGATTGCTCTTCCCATCCCCCTGCTCCCCCAATGAAGAGGACATGTGGGTTAATTCCTCCCATCAGCTGAGCTGGCTGCTCAAACAAGGGGTGGGGGGATGGGATAAAAACCCCTAACAAGAAGAAATTGTCTGTGCTGCATGAACTCTTGAGTGCAAAATTTTCTAGGCATAAGCAAAAGATCTCACGTGTTTAGCCTGGGTTAGCCCTAAGGGACATATAGGGCTTGCTTATTATAGAAGTTTCTATTACCTTTTGGAGCCTAAGACAGTAACTCATTTGTCTGTGTATGTTTACCTGCTTTAACCTTGTCAATAACTCTCATATTTCCTTTTCTTAGTTAAATCTTTAGATAGTTTATTATGAGATTGGCTACAAGGGTTGCTTTGATGCCACTGACCTGGGTTAAGTGACTGGTCCTTTGGGACCGGGAGTAGCCTGAATATTTTTGTGATTTTTGGGGTAAGGGACCATCTGTCACAAAGGCAAGCTTGCCTAGGTGACAAGATACATTGGACTACCCAAGGGGACTGTCTGTGACTCCATGATTACACTGTTATACTGCCTGAGGAGTTTACACTTGGTACTTGATTGATGAAATCTAAGTAAAGAGCTCACAGCCAATTTGGGGTTTGTGCCCTGCTCTTAACAGTTTGCCCGGAGGTTGGTACTCAAACTTTTGAGCCACTGCAGGACAGCTTCAGTAAGTTGGCCCTCCATGGTACAGTCCATTAGATATCAGACTTTCCTAGGTATTCACTTTGTGTCATTTCCTGAATTGGGTTCTGCTCTTGAAGTTCCAACGGTCTGGACTGGCATGATGGGGTGCTAGAGCAAGGAAATTTCTCAGCTGTAAGATCATTTCTCCAAGTCCCTCTATGTCCCATGGCCAGGCCAAGATGAAATCCTGCCACTTCTTCCTCCACAACATATAAGAAATCTGTCCTTTCCTATCGATCTCGATGGCTTAAACTCTTGTCCATGCTCTCAGCATCCCAATTTTCAATTACCAACTCCTTCTCCTCCCCTCTGACCTTCTGGATATCCACCTCACCTCCTTGCCCCAAAGTCTTTGAATAATGAGGTTGCCAGAACCATCCTCACCAATTATTTACCTTTGAACTCCACTCACTGCCCACTGCATCATCTGGGCGTGGGAATATCCTTTATTGGACCAGCTTGTGTTGGTGAGAAAGTGAAGCTTTTGAGCTACACAAAGCTCTTCTTTCCCAGACCTCAAGACAAGCTCTGTGTAGCTCAAAAGTTTCTCTCTCTCACCAACTGAAGCTGGTCCAATGAAATATGTTACCTCATCCGCCTTGCCTCTCTAATATCCTGGGACCAACATGGCTACAACACAGCACACTGCACTATGTATCAAGTTCATACTTCTTGGTCTTGCATTTATAGCACTACATCCACACATCTCCAGTGTGTACCTCAGACCTTGTCTTTTTCCAGGTTTCCCCAATACTCCCTTCAGCCAATGATGGCCTTTGTACATGGAGCTTCCACTCAAAACTTCCTCACCAAGCGACCACCCCTCTCTTCACTTAAATTGTTTCTTAGAATTCACTTCTGCCAGATCATCTATGCAGAGTCAATACACTTAAGACAAAAACCAACCAAAAAAGAAATGCGCAGTATAGCCCGGAATCAAGAATTAGCACAGGAACAATAGAAAAATTTACTATTCTAAACTATCAGAGCGGTAGACCCTTAATAAAATAAAATAAAAAATAAAATCAATTATCCTAAATATGCTATGCTAAACATGCTAATTCTGCACAGCTCTGGTACCGAGAAAAAATGTCTAGTGATTTCACCCTCAAAAAGGGGAATGAATAGAAACAAGGGATGAAAAACTAAAACACAAATTAGAATGTAACTATTACTGTAGTAAGTCTATGGTGCCACCTAGTGGAAAAAGGTGATTACTTTAAATGTACCAAACATTTAGATTATCTACGTAAGGGGTTCTCAAACTTCATTGCACCGCGACCCCCTTCTGACAATAAAAATTTCTACATGACCCCAAGAGGGGGGATTGAAGCCTGAACCTGTCCAAACCCCGCTGCCCCAGGCAGGGGGGCCAAAGCCAAAGGGCTTCAGACCCAGGCAGGGGGTCTGTAACTTGAGACCCGACACCCACGGCGGAAGCCCATGGGCTTCGGCCCTGGGTGGTGGGGTTGGGCCTTGGGCTTTGGCCCTGGGCCCCAGAAAGTCTAAGCCAGCCCCAGCGACCCATTAAAATGGGATTGCTACCCACTTTGGGGTCCTGACCCACAGTTTGAGAACCACTGATTTACGTGTACAATACAATCTCTAAATATATTTTTCTTAAAATGGTTGCAAGAAAAATGCAGAAGGAAACACCTCTGAAAATAAAAATTTATTTCATGTTACCACTTAATATTTTAAAGCAATAATAAGTTAAACAGATCTTCGATGGCCACCCTTACATTTTGATATTTGTTCTTTTTTCTTTACCGTTTTCCTTAATCAAAGATGATAAAAATTGTCTAGGCAGACAGACTGAATATCTATCAGTCTGGCTACTATATGGTTCTTCATTCAGGTGCTGATTTTGAAGTGGCCTTAAGAAACCTGGGGAGATGATGCTGTTTGCAAAATACACATTTAACTCTTTGTGTATATAAAACAAAACAGGTGGGATTCTCCACTATGCTACGGCTCCTTTGCACTGCTCTGGTTGTGCAAGCTTTACTGACTTTCCTAAGAGGCTATGCCAGCCTAACCAACTATGTGGGAATTTCCCATCTATAAATGGCAGCCCCAGATTGTTGAGAGCTGGATAGCAGCACTACACCGCCAGATCTTTCATCCCCCAGACTGCAGTGCATGTCTGGGGGAAAGCAGTTTGGCTGGTGTGCTGCCATGCCTTGGAAATGCCTGGTTGTGAGAATGGCCCATTGTGGTCATAGGCAGCTTAGTATAAATTACAACAGCCCTAAGGCTGCTCCACCTTACATCACAGGCCAAATTGATACTGGGTGGCCCCAAAACCAGGGAGTGGCATTAAAATATTGTAGTCAGCAGTATAGCCACCGACTCTGTGGGTGCTCTGGGGCTGGAGAACCCATGGAAAAAAATAGTGGATGCTTAGCACCCCCAGAATACCAGCCGATCTGGGGCGGAGCAGGGGGCAGAGCAGGGGAGGGAAGAGGTGGAGTGAGGGTGGGGGAAGGGGCAGAGCCTCGGGGAACAGCGGGGGTGGAGCACCCATCTGGAAAAATTAAAGTTGGTGTCTGTGGTGAGCAGGATCTAATCTGTCTAGGGCAGTGGATCTCAAGGGGCACCGCTTGTTCAGGGAAAGCCCCTGGTGGGCCGGACCGGTTTGTTTACCTGCCGTGTCCGCAGATTCGGCCGACCGCAGCTCCCACTGGCTGCCATTTGCCGCTCCAGGCCAATGGGGGCTGCGGGAAGCGGCGTGGGCCGAGGGACGTGCTGGCCGCCCTTCCCGCGGCAGGTGAACAAACTGGCCCGGCCCACCAGGGGCTTTCCCTGAACAAGCGGCATCCTTAGTTGAGAACCACTGGTCTAGGGCATTAGTAATGCACACATTACTGAAGTATCAGGGCAACCTTGAATGATCACAAGTGGTCAGAACCTCTGTTTTGTATTTCATCCAAAAGTTAGCACTTCCAACCATATTATTCCTCCTCTAACACTGTGCTGGGCAATGGTTCAGTAAAGACCCA